AACCCAAACATGACTACGTCCCAACCAAAACATTTCAATCAAAGTTATTATCGAATCGGAAGTAGGCCTATCAAACTAAAAAACTGAACTGAAGAATGAGAAAAAAAGAAAACCCTTGCCGTTAAATTGCCTTTGCAATAAGCATTAAAAAAAATTATATACTCACCCTTATCTATTGTTCCACAGACCAAATCAATTGAGTGCGTATGAGGTTACAAAGAACAGTAAAATCAATTAAACCCATAACATTTTTTATTTGCCTTTCCTGCAGCGAACATGTAAATGGTCTACATAATTATAATCAAACTAGCCAACTAAGCTTAGACGAATTCAGACCAGGACTCAATCACACAGAATAAGACCACTAAACCTTTCTTGAATTTTTACAGAGTTCCAACTGAGTCTGTTTACTGAAACATTAAGTTACGATAAAATTAATCTAGAAGATTGGCTATCAGAAAATTTTAATTTATCACCTACGCTACGATTACCATTAACTATAAATGAAAAACAAAGAAGGATTAAAACTATTTAACCTCTTGTACACAGGACTAAAACACTATATTAAAAAAAAACATAAAACCTCGCTTCCGGTTTTCTTCTTCTTTCCCCTTCAAAGTTATGTTGCAGAAATAAAAATAAAAAATCAGAGCAAAAACAATCTTTTCATTACGCTTACCACGGGAAATCGTTTGCAAATTTAACTTTCACCGACTTCATCCAACAGCACCCACGGAATTAAACTGCCAACGACGAACTGACACAGAACAAATGCAAGCAGAATGAACGCATAAGCAAGATCAGATGCAGTAGTAACAGGCGCGGAACAGCAACAGCTCAAAAAGCAATCAACGCGCACTTACGGCGCCTCCCCGTCCCCGTCCCCTTCCCCCATCTTTTTCTCACCGTTCGAATTCTTAAGTGCCAAGGAAATAAAGCATGGAGCAAAAGGGAGTATCAAAGTACAGATTTTAAGCATAGGTAAAAACGTTTTTTACATCAAAACCTACTTGGAATTCAGTGATGCGGACCTCACTGCCTCATCACGAACCTGCTTATCTTCTTCTGCTCCGCACATCTGTAAAACTCATCAAAATCATCATCACAATTACTATAACAAACGTCATCGTCGTTAACACATTTATGATAACGATTAAGATTCAAAAAATAAACTGTGAAATACAAAGAAAAAAAAAGTGCCACCGCTTATAACAAGTTCACTGTCTCAGTGTCATAAGACTATGACTTTTTCAAGTAACATCTATATCTGTCACAATAATTATGTGCAGTAAATACAATTTATAAAAAAAGAAAAAAGTAACTAAAAACAGACTACTACGAAAAATTCACCCATCTACACACCAACTTATTCATTACCCTCACGACCATATACCGCTCAATCAAACACAGCCATAAAATGTAACATATGCTACTAGCAGTTGGAGCATCATAATGGAAACGCATTATGAAACTAAACATGTGGTCACCGTGGTCCAGTTTATAGTCTATCTAATTTGATATATCAATGATGAAAAAATGCACATGTCGTGCGCCCAGTTTAAAAGTTGCGACTAGTACAATTTATGGCGACACTGGTCTACTTGAAAGGCAACAGTTGAAAAAGAACAATGCGGAAGCCAAATCGTTGCCGCCTTAAGAAAAGTGAAGGGAATGGAGAAGAAATTCCCAAAATAGGTCTCTTCCTCTTCTTACTTTTTTCCTTTCAACATCATCTACCGCTTTAGAATACTCTAACTGGAAAATTGATCAACGACAGTAAAAATAGAAGTGTAAACAAAAATAGGTTATAATAATCATCTAGAGAATAAACAAAAAAAAATTGCAGTAATTTTTTGCCCACTTTTGTTAGAGATACTTTACTCAGATGATAATATATGCAGATGAACATTTTATGCTCTCTAACGAGCCCACAAACAGTAGCAAATGCATTATGCAAAAATGCTGGTTTCAGAACCTATCAAAAATATCAAAAGAAATTTTTTTGATACTGTAACAACGATTAATGAGTACGGTTCACAACAGCGAGGGGAGTCAAAATTAAAGTGTGCACAGTGTATTTTACCGTATTTCTTTTCTGCAAATCTCCTTTCCCTATTTGTTTAATGCTGATATATGAAGCACAAAAAAA